TTGCCCTTTATCTTCACACCAAGGATTGAAGAGAATATACGTGTCTGTCTCCGGGTTTCCGCGGGTTCGGAGTATGCCATAGGGGGTCCAGATAGCCACGTACATGCGGAATTTACCCACGATGCATTCAGGGGAGGACTGGATGGACAGCCGGACAGACCTGTCCTCGTTCATGATGACCTTGGCCCCCCACTTTCCCTTCTGCAGCTCGGGCACGACTGGCACTGGGATGTATGTTCCCTTGTTCTCCTGAGGGTAGCAACCTGTGCGAAGGAGCAGAAGGACCTGTGAGTGTGAGCAGAGTTCACAAACCATTTTGTTCTCACTCGGGGGCCCAAAGGGGGAAATACTCCATTAGGGCTTGAAATCCTAAAGCTTGGGTTTGAATTTCATTTTTTCTATCAACATGCTTGGAGCTGGGGACCTACAAGGAACTGAGGCTCCCTTCAAACTCTGATTCCTGTGATCCAGTCAGAAAGATTTCAGACAAGTTGCTCAGAGTCAGAGGAATGAGTCTATGGAAGGCAAAGGGAAATGGACCTCCCCAAGGGAGAGACTGGGTCCTCTTGGAGAGGAGAGGGTCGATGTGCCTCTCTGGCACTCGAGTTTTATTGGGGATCCCAAAGAAGTTTCCAGAGAGTCTTGCCCAAGTCCACCTCTTGACTTTCGAGTGACAGCAAGATGACATCAGACTTTCAAGTCCCACTGCCATGGCAATTCTGTGTCCCCTTGGCCCATGCCRGCCAGTTCTATTTGGATTCTTAACCATGCATTCTTATAGATTTTATGATTGGAGGAACTATCCTGAYCTCTCAGAGTTTCAGGATCTGGTCATGAAAGTCTCCTGTGTTCCTCCCCTCGACATTATCTTGGACCTGGATTTCTCCTGAAGTTAACAGGGAGTTTGCTGAGGAATGTGACCTATCCTGTCCACTTAGGCAGGGCTGCAGGTAAATTGCTTCTTGAAGAAGAAAGCATATGGGGGGTCAGCCCCGTGAGCCCATTTTATAGAATTCTTCTCTTAACATTCTATTCTCCCCCATCCTCATCTGTCTGACCCCTAACAATAATAGTTTTCTTAATTTCTTTCAAGTTCAGATTTATTTTATTTAAAAAAAAAGACAGAAAGACTTAAAGAGACTCTTTTTGGTGTCTTAGTCAATTTTCTGTTGCTTAATAATACAATGCCACAGACTAGCTGACTTATAAAGAAAAGAGGTTTAGTGTGGCTAGTGGCTATTCTGGTTTAAGGTCAAGGCAGAGACCTGAGACAGCTCAGAAACCATGTGGCGAGACACAAACCCTACATGTGTCCTGGTCTCTCTTTCCCTTCTTATAAAGTCACCAGTATTCCATCATGGGGACCTCAAC